GTCATTCTATACGTACAGCCAGAGAGTGGTTTCAAGACATAAAAACAACTGAAAGCCAAGTTCCACTCTTCCTGACTACATGATGGGTTATTGAACTGGTTCATTTGTAGATGCTCTCATTATGAGGATGGAAGAATCAGGCTTTACCAAAACCTACCCAAGCTTTCACGATCTTCCAAAGAGACTTCCAGAAACTGCATTTCTAATAAGATTGCAAAACCCGCTTTTCAATAGCCAACTGCCTCTAAAGGATAAATCAAATCCCCCAGTGATGAAGCATCAACTAGACCTACAGGATAGACATTGTTTCTCATTGTTTTCTGTTATCGTATAAGTGTATTCACTCGCAGTTAGCCGTATTTTAATGTCAAAGTGTTCCTTTATATATATTCCAACATTTCATGACTAGACATGGGGACAGCACACTCAAGCTATATCAACTCATTCTATGCCACCACAAACGCAGAGGACGAATACAGGACAAGACAATACTCATTTTCACTTGGCTTTAGTGAGGTAAGCCGTGTATAGTGCCTTTCCCAAGGGCACAAGATCGGTGTCATGTCAGGACTCGAAGTCTACTTAGAGGACCAATGACGGTCACATCTTAACGAATACACAGACTTGTTCAGCAGAAAAGTTTACCTCAACCCGTACCCATATATATTGGTTGAAATCATCGGAATTCCTCACTCTAGAATGAGTTGAATCCCCATAGACTGCAGCACGAGTTCATAATGTGCAGTTTATTGCTCCAGGGCTAATTACAATCAACAAGGAAGCGATGGAATGATGACAGATAATGCGTGCAGTGTGGTAAAACAATAACAGGTTTCCAGACGATGGCGGTGATGTTTGTTTAAAGTAATCCAATGCAATTTGTTTTCAGGGCGGCAAATATATTTTGGATGAGAAAATCTGTCTGATATTGATTTTATATCACACAGATTTTCCATTTTAAACACATCTTAGTTAATCATTGTTGAACATTGTTTGGAGCGTTTAAAATAGCCCCAAAACAAGCTAAAGGAGGAACATTAAACATGAAAGGGGCGCTAGTGTCAGGGTCGCTGGAAGACAGACGAAAAATGTCCAGACTATGCGTGATGTACAAAATGACTAACAAACTGGTGGACGTACCTACCGCTAAGTATCTGATACCAGCCCAGAAAAGAACAAGAACAGTCATGCCTTCAAAAATCAGAGTTATCAACCAAGAATTGAGGTGTTCAAAAACCAAGAACTATCGTAGAGTGGAACTCATTGCCACCAAGCACAGTTGGGGCATCATCCGATAGCTTGAAAGCTTTAAAGTAAACAATTATTGCAATCAAATGTGCAAATATTTGGTGTAACAAGTCGTTCAGTGTGATATAGCTAGTGCATTTGAAGCTGGACCAGGTGTATTACCATACCCCGGCTATACCGATACAGATACAGATACAGAAACTTAGAATCCTCACACGACCCCAAACGTTGAGCCTAAGGTCACTGCCCCCCTCCCCCCGAAGCTGCTGTCATGTCGGAGCTTCTCATCAGAGACGTGAAGACGGATGCCCGGTAACAGGAACCTCGCACGGCTTACTCAGCTTCATTACGGCGCTGACAGAGTTACTAACTGGCTTGTTTCTCCACAACCCAATAACGACTGCAAATGCGCTTTGCAATGATATCTCGCCAAAAACAGTTACTTATGATATTAAGCAACTGAATATGATTTTGGAAACGGTCAGACGTTTCAGAGAGCATCCACTGCCTTTCGTCGGTGACAATAGAAATCAAATCAAATTGATATCAATCAATAGTTCTTACTTATAAACCTGCCTTTCTCCTGCAAGTCTCTAGTGTCACTGACGAAAAAGGTAGTGGATTCTACCTGAAACGTCTGACCGTTTCCAAAATCATATTCAGTTGCTTGAGTAACTGTTTTTTGGCGTATCTTATTACCTGGATGTCTAACCTTCACCGACGTATCTCAAAGACAGTCTTCTTTCAACCGTGTATCATCCATAAGGCTAATTATAAGTATCTACAAGGGTCAACCCTTCAGACAGCCACGACTTCAAACAGACACGAAGAATATGGATGATATGCAAAATGACTAATAAACAGGTGGATGTACCAACCACTATGTATCTTATACCAGCCCTGAAAAGAATAAGAAACAGTCATGCCTTCAAATATCAGAGTTATCAACCAAGAATTGAGGTGTTCAAAAACTCGTATTTCCCAAAAACCGAAAAGAGTGGAACTCGTTGCCACTAAGCCCAGTTGGGGCATTATCACTGGAAAGCTTTAAACAACACCTGCAATTAAATGTGCAAAGATCGAGTGTAAAAAGTCGTTCTGTGTGATATAGCTAGCTGCCGCCGCGCCGCGTGCCTGCGAAGCTGGTGCGTTCTGACTCCACCTGTCAGAAGTGCGGAATACATTATCCCGGCGTTTGACACGATACGATTTAAGCTCAACTGGATATTATTAACTATCTGTGAGAGATTAGTATTTTCCATAATCAGACTAAGCAGGGGATTGAAGTTTTGGTTATCACGCCGAACGAATACAAATTTCTGACTGAATAATTGTTACAGTATTCTTCAAAGTGAAATAATTTGGTTCTAACTGCCATGTAGAACATATTGATTTTTGTAGAATCATCACAAGCAGGGACAAGCAAATTATAGCAAAAAAGCATTGAGACATTTAGATTTATGTGGCTTGCAGCTATTACATTTTCTCTTCCTCTCTTTGTATGTTTTTTAAGATTCTGCATCAGTTATAAACTATATTGAGATAAAGATTTAAATATATTTGCGGAGCATGTTATGCTGTGGTAGAAAATCATTTTCTGTTCACCATCATCAAGTTTATTAGGAAAATTCTACTTTATTAGGAAGTTTCTACTTTCCTGTTGTTTGAAAAAGAGGATTTTTTTAAAAAGTATCTTCAATTTGTTTGAAACATTGGCATTTGCTTCAAAATATCTTCAATCTGTTTTTTAAAAATTGACATTTGTTTCAAAAGTATCTTCCATTTGTTTGAAACATTGGCAATTGTTTCAAGATTGTCTTTACTTTGTTTGACAAATAGGCATTTATTCCGGAATTGCCTTCTGCCACCTCGCCACAGAGACACCCAGCAGTTCTAGACAATTGGTCCATGTTTTTTCCCGTGTGAACCCTTCTGTCTGTTTGGAGGAGACAGAGCGTATTCCAGTCACGGCGTCCCCACCCACCAGCCTGATAGAAGGATTATCCAAGATGAGAAAGAGTTGACGCCATCGCAGAGGATTTACACCTTTTTGCAAAGCTATTACGTTTACGTTTAGGTGGTAACTACCTACGCTGCTTGCGGTGGGGCTTTGTAGTCGACACTTACGTGTTGAAGGCGGAATTACCCCTTTTTGCCCGAAGGAAACGAACTGAGACTTGATTCACAAGTGTACGAATGAAGGCGCATAGTCCGTTATCTTGCAGGCAATATAGGCAATGGCTCGATGCATCACTGAGTCTGTTAAGCCATGGAGTAGCTCGGAATATACCCTCAGGGCATATGGTAAACAAGATGTGGCTTTAACATTCACACTAAGCACCTAAATGAAGGCAGTGAAATGTAGTGCTTGTCCCTCTTTTCGATCATATTACTGAAACCATACAAAGGTCTAGACTTCACGTCGCTGCTTATATCAAAATATGTTTCACTGATTGGATCTCATTTTTTTCCCATTTACCCGTTTAAACCTAACCAGACAAGCTTGCTGTACAACATGTTTTTATTTTCTCATATTTTCACATGAGATGTTGGACTAATATGTTCCTAGGAAAACCAAGTGTCACCATGGCGTCAGTCTGCACTTAAAAGTGTGTCGCATGGTGGCGCTGTCGGCATTTAAACCCACGAGGATATAACCGTACTCAAACACAGCCTGAACGGCAAACAAGACAACGTGACATTTGGAAATTAGCGAGACGTACACTGACCTTGAATGTTTGTTCACGGGGCGATACCAATTTTGCAGGGGTGGCCTTCGTGCGATTATCCTGCCGATTTTTTTTATGTGTAAGAATAATGAACCCGGAACTCTTAAATCTTAGTTTACGACTGTATCATCGGCACTAAACCTTTGGGAAGTCTGTGAAGGAAGTTGTTCTGTAGGTTCATATTGATTTTTGGACTACGTCAAGCGTCATCACGTCAGGGATTTCCATAACGCTGAGGAAAAGATCACGGCTACGGTGCGTCTAGCGGGATTTCTTTGTTCATTTGTCATCTAAGTGGTACATCTATCAAACTCGCTAAATGCAGCATTCGCAAGGCGAGAAATCTACCTGCTAAAAATAACCGGGTACTTGCAATTATTTTCAATGGAAAGTGCGATGATTTTCGGACTTTTTAGTCGAAAAAATCCTTGTGATTTCCGGAGTTTCTGATTTTAAAAAATCCTTATACAAGAGACAACTTACTGTTGGTTGTAGTTTTATAGCAATAGATTCCCAACGCTCTGGGGCAAGGATTAAGGAAAAAGCTGACCAAAATACCAGATCAGGAATAACGAGCAGGTATTCCTGGTAATGTGCTCACGACTGAATGGTGTAAACCTTTAGGGAGATATCGCACTATAAATTATCCACCCAAGGTATACAGTGAGTACCTTTCTCCCTTTCTGACATCTACGAATGAAGAGACTCGCATTAATAGAGATAAAAATGTTAATTAAGATACGGGAACCTAGTTCTGTGTTATGTCAAGACTAGGTCTTTATGTATGCTTTTATTGCTTGATTTTACATGTGATTTTGCAGGAAGTAATATACCGGCATTGAAATGCACCACCCTTTCAATTAAGTAGTGCCGTCCTTCATAGAAACTTGTCTTCTCAATCGGTTAGTTTGTAAATCTGTAGGTCCCCCCTCTTGAGTAATGGCAGCGCCCGACGCTGACGCCGAGTGTATGCTGATGTCCCGTTCCCAGTTCTCCCCCGCCGCTAGCCTGGAGAATCACGTACACCTGCTAGCCAAAACTGTATTCTCTCTACATACAGAAACCATAGGTGTCCACCCTGCAGAATCAGTAGTATCTTCCCTCTGTCGTTTATTGCAGATTCATGAGCTGCAGCTGTAGAGATGCCCGGCAGAAGCGCCCATGTAAATGAACCTATCACGACTGCAGGGGCCACCGTAGTGAGTACACAGTGAGTGCTGACAGCTCATTATCGTTAGGTGTGTACGGACGGGCAGGTACCGGGAGCAGGCATGCCGGATACAGCCGGGGAGAACAGGTACACTCCCGTTTGTACTATCCGTGTGCCACTGATGTAAGCACTGTGGTCAGTTTTACAGCGTAAGAGTGATGAAAGACATTCGATGCGAGGCCGTAACAATCCGGAACAATATTCCTCAACAACTAAGCATCGGCCTTGTCCCCCGTCCCACACACAGCACGGCGCGGTGGTGGGAAGGATTGATGGATTAGTTCGTCAGGACAGAAGACAGAAGATCCGGAGAGACGGGCGGGTGAACCACGGACCGGGGCGCACACGCATGCCTTCCCGCGGCAGGGAGAGACATGGCACCCGAAAGACTGATGCCCCCTCCCCGGTTCCTCCTCATCCTCCTCATCTCTACACTACCCGCCGACGGAGGCTTTCCAGACAAGATCATCCTAGGTACGTCAACGTCTTGTTTACGTCTCATTTCTAACCTAGGGCACGAGTTCATTCCGAAATGCACCTGCGTATAAAAAAAAGCGCATCTCAAGATGGCGTCCCGTAAGATCAGCCACTCACTGAATATGTAGCGTACCATGCTTTATCGAATCAGCGGATGTGTCTATCCGCAAGACAGTGATTCCCAGGTGTTCGGCACAACAGCTCCGGGCTTCCTCTGACGTCACCCAATTCTCTGAAGTATGTAAGGCATTCGCGGAAAAAGAGAGTCTCATTTTCTGCAGATATTGATCAGTGCCTGGGATCTCTTTGATCAGCTGTGCCTTACATCAACATTAGCACGGCCAGCAGATCCGGAAGCCGATTCTCAGGCCCTTCTATTCTTAGGCGGGAGAAATACGAGGACCTTAATGACTTGTAGCAAGGTTTCCAATCAGGACAGATGGTTGGCGAGGGAATAAAATTGTCCCATTAATGAAAGCACTAACTGCGTGTCCGTGTCACTTCATTTATGGAGTCGATTCTCGCGGAGCAGGATTGTTCTGTTCTGTCCTTGGTGCTGAAGTAATGACTGCTCTATGGCAGGCGGAATAACAAGTACATAGAAGAGTGGTTTCGGAAAACAAAGCAGCGGGCTAGCTCTTCTGAAAATGTACCGGAGTAGAGCTCCATCAATAACAGTATCCCTGATTACATGTTGCTGCCAATGATATCATAGGTAGAACACATGTCCGGCGGGACGTTTTTGGAACAACGAGTTAACACTATAGCCCGCAGTGTGTAATAAGTACACTGGATCCCGGAAGTAATTGTTTTTGAATTTTAAGTTTAGCATTTTAAAATTCAATGCATGAAAACACCATAAATGCCCTCTATCATTTTGGCTACATCCCTTCCAACCACTAGTCGAAGGCCTCCAAAGTACTAGTAATCAATGCAAAAAGAGTATTTAAATTAAGAGCTTAAAAATAAAAGAAAATAGGCACTATATGTAAACTTTAATGATAAACCTGTCAAAAATGTATATGTATTAACTCGGGTGCACGTATCTGTTCTGTTACATAAAGTCCATGTTTTTATTCACCATGATCATATATACCATAACTATGGTCTACCAGTTTTAATGTCAACCCGGGTGGCCGATTTTACTGGATGTACATGACTACGCGACAAGCCTCACTGGTAGATTCAAGTGCACTCTTGAGTGTGCATACGTACCGCCGTACTAGAAATTGTAAAGAAATCTGTAGATTTCTGTAGAAGATAGTTTGGGAATCGAAAATAGGACCCAATTAGTTCAGTTGAGGTGTTAAGAAAATGCATCACATTTTGGATAATCTACATAATGGTGAATTCATAGCAAATAAGATGCTGATCTTTCCTTTGTTTTCTACTTCGGTATCTTCCTGTAGGGCCGATCGTGTCCAAAGGTTCTTAGGAAGAGATGAGCTACAGATGTAGCTATATACTATTAATATGTCTTGCTGATCTCTACTCTGTTTCTTCCTCTGATATTTTAGCACGGGGCCGATCGTGCCCAAAGGTTCTGAGGAAGAGATGAGCTACGGATGTAGCAATATAACATGTCTTTCTGATCTGTTTTCTCCTCTCGCATCTTCCCACAGGGGCTATCGTGCCCAAAGGTTCTGAGGAAGAGATGAGCGCCTTCAAGTACGGTCTGGACAGCTTCAACGGGGAGAAGAACACGGGGATGAGCATCCGGCGCTTCTTCGTCCCCGACACGTACCCGGGCGCGCGGGGATGGCCGCCCTTCCGCCTGCAGGACAAAACCACGTTCGTGGACACGGCGGACAGCTTCCAGCTGGTCAAAGCAGGTCAGGGCCTTCTCATGTTCTCACGTTCAAGCTAGTTTTAGAGTTTTAGATAGACGATAAGAAACGTTAACATACCATATTCAAAACAGACTCACAGTAAAACAAGGAAATTTTCTATTTAACGCTAAATCTATATATCTTTGTATCATTATATCTTAGCTGGTTTTAGATAGACAACGAGAAAAAGATAACATACCATATTGAATCTTTATTCTGCATGTTCATGCCCATGGGGCTAAATGCATACATTGGACCTTTGTTTTTCAATGGTTTACTTGCATTTGTATCATCGGTGTCCCAAAGATGGCAGCCTAAAGGCTGAAATGATATCGGAACATTACGACAGGTTAACAACGTATTATAGCACAGCATAGTTAGCATAAAACGTTATTTTAGGCATTACAATCGTTAATATAACATTAGAAGGAATTTATCAACATACATGTAAAATCAGCAATCGTGACGTTCAAGCCAGTTTTAGATTGACAATGAGAAAAATTAGCATACCATATTGAATCTTTAATTTCATGTTCGTGCCCATGTTGCTATAAATGCATAAATTGGAGTATGATGTATTACATGTATATCATACTGAGTAACATAATACATAGGATGGAAGGATGAAAGAATAACGTAAAAGTCGTAGGAGCTACTAGAGAATACATTCTATCTAATCTAGGCCTTGAAGATTTCTTCTCTCTTTTTAAAGCAACTGGAGATGAATTCACATAATTTTTCTAATGTTTGTGTCAAAACAGACTTACAGTACAACAAGGAAATTTTCTATTTAACGCTAAACCGAATATATTTTTGTAGTCATTAACTATTTTAACATACATATGGTAATCTTCAACCTAAAATCGTTAAAGCGAGGAGAACTCTCGGCGTCTCTTAGGGGCACGTGAGAGATTGTCTGTGTTCGTGTCTGACTGTTTCGGGGTTTACAATCGATAGTTTGATCGGATGAATTATTGCTTCATTTGACCCCCCCCCCCCCTCCAGCCATTCGCAAACTGCTAGGTCAGATAAACTGGTGATGGTATACCTTATTTAGTAAGTAAAGCAACTATAGCAATTCTTCTGCAGTCTCTTAGTGTCACTGACGAAAGGTAGTGGATACTACCTGAAACGTCTGACCGTTTCCAAAATCATATCAAGTTGCTTGAGTAACTGTTTTTTGGCGTATCTTATTACCTGGATGTCTAACCTTCACCGCCGACATATTCAATGTAGCCAGGTCTCCATTAACACGCAAACAAAATTGGTGCAGCCAATAACCAAGTCAATTCCATGATTACAGTTCCAAGGACAATATTCTGGCACTGTATCTAAACTGGCATTGTTTTGGCAATCTATCAAACAAAAGTTGATTTACAGATAAGAATTCCATTTACATCAATCAACTTGTGTAACGCAACCTTTCCATTACTATGCACCATCTAGCGGTAGATGGCATATCTCAGTCATGTAAAACATTAACCACCATATATGGGCGTACATTACATAATTGAACATATCCGAAAATAAAGGTTGGTCAACAAATGAATAGCAAAGTTCTTTGATCACAGCCATTACTTTATATTATATATAGAAACACTTTACATTTGGAACCGCATATGTCCCTATGATGTAACATTGCCTAGTATGTATGTCACAATTACACTACGTTCCGAAATGCATTGTTAACAGTAAAAACTAGCTTAAGTGCACTGTGAACCATGTAACACATTTAGTGCACTATGCACTATGTAACATCTAGTGTCAGTGCACAGCAAACCAGTCAGAATTGCCCTGATGAAGATGACAGACGGTCATCGAAACGTCGGCTCGTGAAAAATAAATGGTTGTGATCAAAGAACTTTGCTATTCATAATGGAACATAGTTCTGCTCAGTTTTCCTTCTTGTTTTATCGCAAGGAAATAAATAGCATGACCGATTGTGGTGCTATAATTATGTCATGTATGCCCATATATGGTGGTTGCATGACATAATTATACCATCATCATCGGTCATGCTATTTACATCTTACTTACTTGCGATAATACAAGATGGAAGACTGAACAGAGCACCCAAACACAGCCGGTAACATGGAAGATCCCGATGTTATGCTGGGGTCACATTTCCAAAACGGGGCCCGGCCGGGCAGTCTTATGGAACGAAAAGTATTATATAAAAGACAACAAAGCACAAAAGTTGAAAAAGCTAATAATGGGTATTATCTGTGTATATTATTGATATCAATTGAAATTTTTTTCGTTAAGCTAAACAGCCCGGCCGGGCCCCGGTTGGGAAATGTGACCTCAACATTACACAGATCCCTGTCATACAGATCCAGACATTTGAGCACCGTTCACAAATAACCATCGAAAACCCTGAGGGACTTTATCCCTAACATATGCATCTGCCATTATTAGTTACTCTCCAAGCAGAGGTTGTGGGGGAATGATCGTTAGCTTTTTACATATGGCCTTTTTTTTTGTCGCAACCCCGTCGGTGGCCGCAGACCTTCTCTGGCTAATGGATACTGCCTGGCCAATTTGATGCTGTCTTTTTACCACCGAGAGGGATCTGCTTGGAGATTACTTATTAGTATGTACGGTTCACAAAAAATAACCATCCAAACCCTGAGGGACTTTATCCCTATAACATATGCATCTGCCATTATGAGTATGTATGTCAGTTTACAACCTGGGCGGGGCCGATCGCTTTCACCGGGGGAATACTCTGTTTAGCATGACGGACGACATCTCTAACACATCTAGGGCAGTCTCACTTGTTTAATTAAAGAATGCTCCCTGCTTGGACCGGCGTTTGGTCCCACTGGCAATGGTAGATTGATATCAGCTAAAACGAAGTGCGAATGACCTATAAAACAAATGATTTATATCTATGACGACATATTGAAACAATACACCTAATGCCAAGCGACAAGGTCAAAGCTTTGGATTTATTATGAGTTGACGGCTATTATTCAACATAGACAGAAAATAGCCATTAAACGTAATATGTATGTCACCTTTCTGACGAAGGCACTACCCGCTCTGTTTCACGCATTTGATGCTAAAAAAAAACAATTTCTTACCTTCACCAAGAAGGTAGCATCAAGGCTTACTTCTGTTTATTTAGAAAACCAATGCAAATTAGAGTTAGAAAACCAATGCAAATTTCCCGTGGTTACGTCACTATGTAAGGAAACTAAAAAGATTGCCATCCTCGTTTTACATTCGATGTTATTTGCATACGGAAAATAACAATATACCAAAGGTCACAACAGGGCATCTGCCCGAGGAGTTTGAAATCAAATAAAATCATACATCAAAGTAGTTTCCATCTTATACAAAATTCTTGCCTCCATGCCTTCAAGAGAGCCTCTATTATCTTTTGCATGTAGAATACCCTGTACATTAACGATCGTTCTCAATTACTGGGGCAGGCAGAAACATGGACCTTTCTGCTGTATTAGGTTTCCCCTCCCCAGAGGTGTTCTAATCTGGTTCGGATTGACCTTTCAAGCCCCGGTCTCCTAATGATATCCCATGGACATAACGTCTGATTGCCTCGGCAGGAATTTCCAGACCTGACCAGAAGCATTGTATTCATTAAAACCTGCTGAGCAATATGTATTTTGTGTACCTACTGCACATGCTACTGATAATTGATAATTAGATATAGAAATGTCCTGCAGGTCACTTTCGTGTTTGTGTTTTGATAGCGCTCTTAGATATATACCAATTCTCTGTCCACCATCTTGATTCAGAACCCATTGCTGGGCCTGCTTTTTAATATTAGATAAATGTTATTACATGTAATTTTTTCAGTTATCTACGATGTAAATTTGTCTACAAATGTCTCAAGAAGAGAGAAGATGCATGTAAATCGTAGGAATAGACAAATAAATAGTATAATTTCCCTCTTCCTGTTTTGTAGCTAACCTGGTTTGCAGCATTTAGCCCCAACGGGACATGGATACGCAAACATACTTCATTCTCTAATAAGAGCTTTTTACTGACAAAGACGTTCTTTGTGTTGTATGAGTGGCAGAAAACCATCCTAAATTACAGTTTGTCGTATATGCTAATTCATTAATACCGGTACCCATTTTGCACCACCAGTACCTCTTCAGTAATCTCCACCAGACTCCTTTGCACGCTGAATAAATTGTAAAAATCGGCCTAAAAAGGGGATGTCATTTGCCAGAGGATCCAATTGGCCGGGAAACTCCTCTGGCCAATTATATCCCCTTGTTAGGCCGATTTCTACTATTTATTCAGCCTTCAAAGGAGTCTGGTGGAGACTACCTCTTCAAAACACGGAAACTCCGTGTGGACCAGATACCCGACAAGGCGTGAAAGACATGTAAAAAGCATGGAGAGTTGCCACCACGCTGTGCACACGTATTTTATCCAGCTGGCACGAAGTTCCACTCATATACATCCGCCGCTACGTTCCAAAGCAATTTATCGCCAGGAAACATGCAACATAGTAAATGCTTACTTCAACCGAGTCGGAATGCGAAAGTAATTTGTCATGCCATCTAGTTGTAATGTTATAGGGATAATTGTATCAAATACCAATGTAGGTACATGATGAAGACTGTCCGTATCTATATTTGTATAGCCGGTATAACCGCCCTTCGACGGAACACACCAGCTTCGCAGGCACGCGGCGCGGCGGCAGCTGGCTATATCACACTGTCACGCCTAACCGTTACACAACTAACTCTTTGCGACAGCGTGTTCCACTCCGCACTTCCGCTCAATGCGAGCTTCTTGCGATATTTGCATACGCCAGGCGGCCGCTGTTTCATCAAAGTTTACATTATGCTTTCAGTTCGGCAACTATTGGTCGAGGCGAACTCACACCAGCGGCGAATTTTCCCCATATTTACGTCCACATGTAGAAATTGCTCATCGTTATCTTTCACAAGGTCGAGGATTACAGTCTGTTTTGTAACGTGTAGCGTCAGAAGTGGGCGTTTTAATGCCTTGTCTGTCAACCT